CCATGTGGCATGCCCGCCCCCCCCACCCCGCCAAAAAAGAAAAAGAAAAAGAAAAAGAAGCACAGGCATAAGGATTCTCACTTGGTCACAGCCCAACTTCACCAGTTCTCACATATGGCAGTTCCTACCCCCGTCCATCCTTTCCGCACCCCCAGTGGTTTTGAAGCAAATCCCAACATGATAAAAGATAAAAGTGCATTGGTAAATATTTCAGTATGTATCGCCAAAAGATAGCAGCTCTTACCATTCAATTAGAAAATAGTTTTCTAACTTTGATTGTAAAGTCTGTGCATATGATATTTGAAACAGTTGTTTTCAGGCACCTGCAAAAAGTCTCATCCTGATGAATGATAACATACAATACACCATATATTTATATTTCCATGTGTATTGGTGAAGCAATGCATAGAATTTAATTTGAATCACAAATAAAGTTGGTGATTTGACAGTAAAAAAAAGACAGCAGCTCTTTTAGAAAATAACCACCATATCACGTGACACCTGAAAGTATTTAATAGTAATTCTTAAGGTTATGAAGTAACAATTGTTTAAAGGGGTCCTTAGCGTGAATGCAGAAATAGGGCCACATCGGGGGAAAGGAGTAGTAATGCACCCACCCGCCCGCCCGCCCACCTGAATTACATGTCTGAGGAGAGAAGGTTTAGATGCATGAGTGTTAAATAGGTAACACTTCTGTTTCATGAGACAGCGGTGTTTTTGTGACAGCTTTATTGGGAGATCATTCGCATCCTATACCATCCACCCACCTCAAGTGTACACGTCAGTGATTTTCGTATATTCACACGTATGTGCAGCTGTGACCCCCATCAATTTTGGGACATTTCATCACACCCTCCTCTCCTTAACCCCCCCTCCCCCCCCTCCCCGGCCCTAGGCAACCACTACTTTCTGTCTCTGTGGATGTGCCTGTTCTGGACATTTCCCATAGCTGGAATCGTACAGTACGTGGCCATCTGTGTCTGGCTGCCTTCACTCAGCATCATGTTTTCAAGGTTCACCCGTGCGGTGGTGTGTGTCAGTGCTTCATCCCTTCGTATTGCCTGTGAATAGCATCCTGTTGTATGGATAGTGCGTATTTTGTTTACCCCCGTTCATCAGTGGGAGGGTGTTTGGGCTGCTTCCACTTTTTGGTTATTATGAATAATGTCGCCGTGAACATCATGTACAGGTTTGTGTGCAGACACACGTTTTCATGAGCATGAGCCTAGGAGCGGAATTGCTGGGTCGTGTGGTAACTCCACATTTGACCGTTTGAGGAGCTGCCAGACTTTTCCAAAGGGGCTATGCCATCTGACATCCCGGCCACATCCTCTCCAGCGCCTGTTATCGCCCATCCTTTTGATGATGGCGGTCCTGGTGGGTGTGAAGTGGTATTTTACTGCAGCTAAAGCTCTGCATTGTCCTGGTGGCTGCAGGGGGCAGTATTACAAGGCCGAATGTTTGCAAGTGCGAGGCTGTGGATGCCAAAATCGAGGGTGGAATTTTCACTCGATAGATTTGCAGAGGGAGCTTCTCAAGCCCTTGTCATCCGGTTCACTAACTCCTGCTTCTGGCTCAAATCGGGGGAGGCCGGCTCACGATAGTCATCCTGGCTCCTGCAAAACTAGAAAAACAAATTGTCCACCTGGAGGGCACTTAAGACTCTTCTATTTGGTTTTTAGTCTGAACCAATCAAAACAAGCAAATCACTAGTTAAATTTAGAGTGTTTTCGTTTTTTTAAAAAATAATTTTTAGGGACTTTCCTGGCAGTCCAGTGCTTAAGACTCCATGCTTGCACTGTAGGGGGCACGGGTTTGATCCTTGGTGGGGGAACTAAGATCCCAGATGCCACATGGTGTGACCAAAAAAAAAAATTAATTTAAAAAAATAAAATTCTTATTGGAGTACAGTTGATTTACAATGTTGTGTTAGTTTCTGCTGTACAGCAAAGTGAATCAGTTATACATAGACATATATCCACTCTTTTAGATTCTTTTCCCATGTAGGTCATTACAGAGTATTGAGTAGAGTTCCCTGTGCTATACAGTATAGGCTCTTATTAATTATCTATTTTTCAGAGAGTTCTGATAAAGGCCTCCAGAAACGGAGGCTGTAAATATCCTTGTCTGTGTGCCCCTGCCCGGCAGAGGTTAGCTCCCCGAGCAAACACTGGACACATACCTTTGGAGAGAATTGACTACAAACACTACATTTAGTCTACTGCCATTAATAATCCCTTCCTCTTCTGCACAAAGCCCTTGAAAGATTTTAAAAATCATTGAGGGACTTCCCTGCGTAGCACAGTGGTTAAGAATTTGCCTGCCAATGCAGGGGACACGGGTTCGAGCCCTGGTCCAGGAAGACCCCACATGCCACGGAGCAACTAAGCCCATGAGCCACAGCTACTGAGCCTACACTCTAGAGCCTGCGAGCCACAACTACTGAAGCCCGCGCGCCTAGATTCCGTGCTCCGCAACAAGAGAAGCCACCGCAATGAGAAGCCCATGCACCGCAATGAAGAGTCGCCCCCACTCGCTGCAACTAGAGAAAACCCGCGCACAGCAATGAAGGCCCAACGCAGCCAAAAATAAAAATTAATTAATTTTAAAAAATCATTGGAAGGGTAGCCAGTCACATAATTTTATTTGCTGTGATGCATGCTGTGCAGAATTCTTATCTTTGTAAGACCTGCTTCGTGTTCACCCCAAGGCTTTGATGGGGGGAGGGGTTGAGTTAACCTTCAGGTTCTGGAATAATCTTAAGAGCCACCTTGGGTAGCTTTTCGAGAAATTGATTCCAGCTGTTGGTTTAAAATGTCTTCAACATTTTAAATTTACCTGTAGCGAGCTTTTGCTTGGAGATCGTGCTACTTTCAAATGAGATCTGTCTTCATAGTTAGCCAGTCTCTGGACGTTTGCTCTGTGCCAGGTAAATAATGTGTAATTTTTTTTATTTTTTTGCCCACGCCGCACGGCTCGCAGGATCTTAGTTCCCTGACCAGGGATCGAGCCCAGGCCCTCAGCAGTGAAAGCACAGAGTCCTAACCACTGGACGGCCAGGGAAGTCCCAAATAACGTGTAACTATTCTTGAATGCTGGGCAGATGGCACCAGGCCAAGGTTCCGTGAGTGGGATGCAAGTTTTGCCGACTTGCTTTTTTTCTTTCAAGGTCATCCGAGCAGAGCTCTTGGGTGCCCATCCCAGCCACTCCCTCTGCCCCAGAATCTCCACGTGGGTGCCCCGGTCCACCCCGGGGTGAATGCTCCACCCCCAGCCCACCCCGCGCTGGGGCTCTGCTGCGTGTGGAGGCTCCGTGGAGCCCACACGGTTCAGACCCCAGCCCCAGGGCACCTCCGAAACCTGTCTGGAGTGGGTCACCCTCCCGACCCCAGTGTTCCCACTCTGGGCCACGCTCTCCTGGAAGACCACCCCAGCTTCGTACTGGTCTCACTTCCTCACCCCACCTGCCCCTGGCTCCAAACAGGAGCCCGAGTTGTCTTCTTTAGAACAGACACAGACACAGGAACTGACACCCCTGACTCACAGCCCTTGGGTACTTTTCCATTGCCCTTAGCATGAGACCCGACTGCCTCTGGGACTTCCCTTTCTGAATTTAGCGCCCACCTTGAGCCCAGCCACCCTGCGCCTCCAGCCCTTTCACAGGTCTGCCTTCAGGCCTCAAAGTCTTGCCCTCCGGCCGATCCTTCTCCTGGGTTTCCGTGTCACCTGGGAGGTCCCCTCTGTCCCCCCCTCTTCTTTCTGCCCCGCCTGTCTGAGCTGCAGGAGGGCAGGGGGACCTCCATCCTCCCCACGGCTGGCACATAGGAGGCAGTCAGCACACGCTTGTTGAACAAACCAGTGAGTGAAAGTTGAGATCATTTGTCTTGATTTGCTGAAGACTAAGCTAGTTTGACTTTTGTAACTGGGTGTCTCTGAAACCGCCTTACCCTTGATTTTGACGGGTCCGACGTCTACCCCCAGTAGCCTTATTACACGGGTAAAAAAAGGAAACGTAGCATGCGATGGGGATACACACACGCACTAACAATTTTGGATTTTTATTCTGGTTTGTTCTGGAATTTTAGCTCCTCTTTATCCACATGTGCTTGGTGGCACACGGTTTAGGAGGAGATGGTGCCATCGCCCGCCTTCAGAAGGTTGGCAGAGGGGCTGGTGCTGGGGAGGCCAAGAGGGAAGAGGTGAGGCGGGATCCCGCCAAGGAAGCAGGTGAAGGGAGACCAGATACACCTAGCGGGGGAAATGAAAGGCACTTGCCTTTGCCAGGCAGGGAAGCCTGCAGGGAGGGCCAAGCCTGTAGTGGGGGAGGGAACGTGATACTGGCTGTTGACAGCAGTTTGATTTCTGCAGCCTCTGAGGAGGAAGGCCCAGCCTGTCTTGTCCACACCCCACCTGCCCCTGAGGGTTCTGTGCGTCTGGTTTTCATGGGGTCCTTTGTGGAGCCTGAAGGGGTTTCTCGGGCAGCAACCCCATGCGCACCAGAGGCCAAGGTGTTTGGCGTTGGTCCTGTTTTCCCACCGTTGATCCCTGAAGATAAGGGATCAGGGGTCATTGTGGATGCATTTGTGGACTTGCTGTGCCAGCCTCTAGGCTGGCTGGTGGGCGGGAATGGGATTTGCCTCCCGTTTGAGGGGCAAGTTGCTAAACCTCCCCGGGCTTCCTGGGTCAGCCGGGTGTAGACTGGGCGGCAGAGTTGGGTGGACGGCGGGTAGTGGAGGGAGGAACGAGGGGTTCCCGCTCCTGGACTCTGCTGACCATCCAGCGCCTCTAAGCAGAGGCCGCAATTGTCTGTATCTAGCTGGACCAGCAGGGGAGGGGTGGTGGCTAATCACAGAATCGGGGGTGTTAATGAACAACTTGTAATCTATCAAATGGGAGGAAACAATCAGATTCAGAATGGATTACGCTTCTCTACAAGTTGGAGGTTTTCTAGTGTCCAGTCAGTGCCCCCTCCGTGTTACGTTCTCCCCTTGTCTTTCCAGGAGCTCGATAACCATGGCGGAGGCTCACCAAGCCGTGGCCTTTCAGTTCACGGTCACTCCCGACGGAATCGACCTGCGGCTGAGCCACGAGGCCCTCAGGCAGATCTATCTGTCTGGACTTCATTCCTGGAAAAAGAAGCTCATCAGATTCAAGGTTTTCAGACACTTGCTTCCACCAATCTGTACAGTATCCCCTTTACTGAAGTTCCAGCGTGTCAGCGTGGTAGTTGACACATCACGTATGTTTCCGTGGTCCTTAAGGCTTGTGAAACACTTTCCCGTGGATTGCCTCGCTGAATTCTTGGAGAAATTCTGTAAGGCAGGTAGGGTGAATCGGGACCCCGTAGGGCAGGCGAGGAAATCAGGACTTGGAGAGGGTAAGTGACCTGCTCAGAAGAAGCAGAATAAAGGCTATAGAATCCATGTCTCGGCTCCGAGTCCGGAACCCCCTCTACACCTTGTAGGAAAAGGGTTGTTTTTCAGCTGTGTGAAACCGCAGCGAGTTTAACAGCAGTCTCGCCAATAAAATCGTCCAGCGTTGAAAAAGATGTGCGTAAATGCAAATACAGTTAACCACTCATGTTCTGAATTCTGCTTACCTGCAAGAGTGGACATTTATTCCCTGTTTTTAAGCACGTGTCTTGTTTTTAATTCACTTATTTTAAAGATTACAAAAGTCATGAACATGCATGTACCCTTCGCTTAAAACTTCCCCAATTTTGCTGTTTAGGGAAACACTGCTGGGGAAGATCCCCGGGGTGCTCCTTACCTGCTGCCTGTAAGAATAAATCCTTCCTTCTCCCGCAAAAGAGAAAATAAGAATCACAGAAGGACAAATCCATGTTTAAAAAAATTCAAACAAGACGAACGTGCACCAGAAGTGTCTGCCCCACTGTTCCCCAGTTTTGTGTGTTTGTTGTCCAGTTTTCCCTTCAGAGGGCAGCTCCAAGGCGGGCTGTGGAAAAGGGACTTCCCTGGTGGTGCAGTAAGACTCCACGCTCCCAATGCAGGGGACCCGGGTTCGATCCCTTGTCTGAGAACTAGGCCCCACATGCATACCGCAACTGAGTTCACATGCCGCAAATAAGGAGCCTGCCTGCCGCAACTAAGGAGCCTGCGAGCTGCAACTAAGACCCGGTGCAACCAAATAAATAAATAAATATTAAAAAAAGAAAAAGGTCCAGGAGCTAGGGTGGATGGGAACAGTGACCAGGGAGACAGTGGGCCGGCCCCTGGGACCTGGCCTGGCTGGACAGGTGTCCCCGGGCTCTGCTGGAGGGGTCTGGGGCCCAGGTACATGGCCCCGTCACGCTGGTGCCTTGTGGGCGCCAGCAGCATGACCCACCCGAAGTGGAGGAGGGCGCCACCTACAGGGGAAAGTGCCCTTTGCGCTCCTGACCTTGCTGGGACGCTTCCCTTTAGCTACACATGGAGGAACGCAGACGCTTGGGTGCCCCCGTGTGGCCGTTGTCTTAACCCAGTGTAGGTGTTGTTCCCGGACTAGCGAACGGAAACAGACAGTGCACAGCAAACAGACAGTGCACAGCGAGGGTGCATCCTCACCACGTGGTTCCTTAGGGGACCATCTGATGCTCAGAGGAAGCAGGGGGAAGGCTTGCATAGCTGCTGCCGGTCGGGGTGGGGGGTGAGCAGAGACCTTTAATCCAGAAACGTCCTCCCTCCATTTAAATTTAACGTATGTGCCTGTTTATTTTACAAGAACGGTTCAGAGAACACCAGAAGGCCCCCCTGCGCCCAACCACTTTGTTTAAAATCTTTTGTGGTTCTCCATGATGAGAATAACATGTAGGGATGTGTCAGTCTCTTCTGAGAGAATTCAGATAAAGCTCTGAGAGTTTTTTAATCTATTATCTTAACTGTTGTCGAATCAGTCTTACTAAGATGGCTTCAGTAAGATTTTTTTTTAATTTTTTATTTATTTATTTTTAAATTTTTAAAATATTTTGCCTGCACTGCGTGGCGTGCGAGATCTTAGTTGCCCGACCAGGGATCAAACCTGGGCCCCCTGCGTTGGAAGTGCAGAGTCTTAACCGCTGGACTGCCAGGGAAGTCCCAAGATTTTTTAATTGGAAGTTTTGAAACATACGCAAAAGTAAAGAGAGTAATAAAGCCACACTGCTCATTTCCATAGCTGTCAACATTTTGCCAATTTTGGGTCATATGTCTTCCTTCCCCCTCCACTGCTACTTTTTTTTTTTTGAAGGCAGGCTGGGGGAGCTTTGGCTGAAGCATCTTACGGCCAATTCTTGACGTGGAGTGAGGTTTCCTGGAAATACCTCGGGTTGAACGGTGTCTGATTCAGGAGCAGCAGGAGGGGTGGTTTTGGAGTGGGGGGGGTCTCCAGGCATCCTGGGTGTAGCATGTTGGGGAGAGGACATCGTGGTGGGCAAGGTGGCCAGTGTCCTGAGTCAGTCTGGGTGGAGCTCGGGAATCTGTATGTTAAACTAGTGCTTTGGGTGAGTCTAATGTCCTGGGGTCACTCTCTAGGGGAACTGTTTTAGGAAGGGTTTTGGCTCAGAAGTAGAGGAAGGGAAGGAGCTGGACAGAAGTTGGAGTAGCTGGGGGCTGGAGGCTCTGGGGAACGTTTCCACTAGTGATAGTGTGGCCGCTTAGCTGCACCTGTGTGCAGACCCCCCACCCCTCCACTGCCTGCCAGCTCACGGGCCCCCACCACCAGGAGGGACGTTGCTCATGCCGTGCATGTCTGTGTTTAGAATGGCATCATCACCGGCGTATACCCGGCGAGTCCCTCCAGCTGGCTCATCGTGGTTGTGGGCGTGGTATCAACAATGTACACCAAGATCGACCCCTCTTTGGGAATAATTGCAAAAATCAATCGGACCCTTGACAGGACGTAAGTAATCCTTTCAAATCTCCAATGGTCTACGGAGTTATTGACTTTTTTGTTGCTGACGTTTTTATGTCTTCTCACACATCATGGCTGTTGTGGATTCACTTTGGGCTTTTGCTGTGGTTGTCATGTCGGCTTTCTCCCTGTGTCCTGGGCTGGTATGAAGGTCCCCTCGGGAGTTTGGGGACCCTTGTGGCCCTTTCTCTGGAGACCAGGGACAAGAAAGGCATCCTTGGTCCTGGGGTACCCGCCAGGACATGTCAGGGCCCGAGGTGGGAGCCAGCAGTGGCAATCAACTTAGCCTGGCCAGGGGGACCCTCAAAACGAATTTCTAACCCCAGGAGCCGATTCTGGACAAGGTCTCTTCCCTGCACTGGGGTCCGTCCTGGAGTTCTGGGACCCTGGGAACTGACTGCTGTCGGGGGCTCTGGGGAGACCTCAGCCTCTCAGCTCCCTGTCTGGTTGGCTTAGAACACCGGGGGGACCCCAACACTCTCTCCTGGTTGCTGTAGATTTTTCTAGGAGCTTTTTTAATACCATGATATTCGGCCAGGCGGGGCCTTGGGTTGATATTTTTCTTGCAAGGTACGTGGTGCCTGAGGTCTCATGCCAGAATGTTGGCCGTGCCCTCGAGGGCATTTCTGGAGCCACTCTTTCTTCCCTCCAGTCCTGGGAGTGGCCCTGGCTCCCGTGTAGCCTCTCCTGCCGTTTGGCCCCTGCACTGCAGTGACCTCTCTCCCTGGGGTCTCCGACATGAAAAAGTGAGGAAATGTTCAGAGGTGCAGATTCCTGCCCAGAGTCACAAAGAGGGGAAGTGGGGAGCTGGAATCCAGACCCAGCTCCGCGTGGTCGGACATCTGTGCTTCCTTCCTTCAATGTGCCCTGAGCCTCCCCTCGGAGAACCTTCTTGACAGGCAAACGCAAAAAAACAGCACCTCTGGGGGCTTCCCTGGTGGCGCAGTGGTTGAGAGTCCACCTGCCGATGCAGGGCACACGGGTTCATGCCCCGGTCCGGGAAGATCCCACATGCCGCGGAGCGGCTGGACCCGTGAGCCATGGCCGCTGAGCCTGCGCAACAGGCTCTGCAATGGGAGAGGCCACAACAGTGAGAGGCCCGCGTACTGCAAAAAACAAAAAACAAAAAAACAGCACCTCTGCCTTACTGGTGTTTGAGTGGCCAAATGATGAGACATACACAGGGCTGTTTCCATTGCCCCATTTGTGATGGCGGCCGTGGCTCTGGAAGGCACATTTGAAATGTTTGTTTTGGCTGCACCAAGCAGCTTGTGGCGGGATCCTAGTTCCCCGACCAGGGATTGAACCCACGCCCTCGGCAGTGAAAGCGCCAAGTCCTAACCGCTGGGCCACCTTGGAAGTCCCGTGGAAGACATATCTTTATCTTCTGGTTGGAAAGTACTCGTGCCTCCAGCTTGGCTGTGGCTGTCCCCTGCCAGACCTTTGATCCTATTCCTGTGTTGCTTGTTAACACCAGAGGACATCGTACGTCTGTTACTAGAGAAATAATAGTCCCCAAGTCCTCGTCCCGTGCTTGGGCTTTACTTTTTGCGCCACGGGTTTTGGGAGGCAGGTGGGGTCTGTGAGGGATGGGGTGCATCCCAGGTGTGTCTACGGGGTCCCTGGGCCATAGCTACAGGGTTGGGGCTGGGCCTGAGCTAAACAGATGAACTTCTGGGCGTTTTACTGAATCAGTTGGTTGTTTGGATTTGAATATTGTTCTTTCAGAGGAGAACAGGAAAGTAACGTGCAAAAATGTGACATAAAGGAAAGCTCCCAGCTCAGGACTGAATTTGATGCTGATCACTCTAAAGAAATGATTAAGTGGTTTTAAGTTAAAGGTCTGAATCTTCTTATGTTGCTTTGAGTGGGTACCCCTCACTCCTGAAAACTGCTCCATATTCATGGTGTCCAGGGATACACGAGAGTCACTGAGAGTCCAGCTGAGTCCCTTGGAGCCTCCGGCCACCTTGGGATCGCTGGCTCATGCCTTTATAAGCGCCCGCAAGGCCCAGGATACCAAGCCCTGTCATTGCAGTGGAAGCACGCCTGTGCTGGATGCCTGCCTGACTCCTTGCTCTGCCTGGGGGCCGGGAGGCCAGGCAGGGACCCTGTCGCTCTCACCTCCCTGCCCCAGCCTCTCTCTTCCCCTCCTTTATTTCCAGGGAACCACAGGCCTGCCCCCGCTGCAGACAGTTCACCTCCGATTTCCTGCCTACTTGGGTTTAACACAGTTTTTAAATTTACTTTCGAGTGGGGGCCGTCTCTTTGCACTGGATTATATTTAGAAGTGTTGCCTATTTAAAGCCCTTTCTAATCTGGGTCTTTATAAGATTTGTTTCTTTGTCCCTCTAAACCAATTGCGGTAAACTGGGCCATCCCTGGCCCAAATTTAGAAAGACCAGGTGAAGGGGCCAGCGTCTTCCAGGTTCAAGGGCTGTTCTGCAAAGTCTTTCTGGAGAGGGTTCCCAATGTCCTGAGGTTGCAGCTTCCCTGAGTGCAGGTGTACATCGTGCTCTGTGTAAGCCCATCCCCTGCAGCCTCGGAAGGGACATGCCCTTTAACAGAAAGCTATTAAAGCTGATGCTTGCTGTCAAAGTGCCTGTATGCATATATATAAAAAATGCTGGGGGACTTCCCTGGTGGTGCAGTGGTTAAGAATCCGCCTGGCAATGCAGGGGACACGGGTTCAAGCCCTGGTCCGGGAAGATCCCACATGCTGTGGAGCAACTAAGCCCGTGCGCCACAACTACTGAAGCCCGCGTGCCTAGAACCCATGCTCCGCAACAAAGAGTAGCCCCCACTTGCCGCAACTAGAGAAAGCCTGCATGTAGCAACAAAGACCCAACACAGCTGAAAAATAATTTTAAAGAAAAGAAAAATTTTTTTTAAAAAATGCTGAACACATCATTTGTTTGTTAATGTAAAAATACTACTTGATTTTTGTGAAGCAAGTGTGTGTGTCTTTTCCAAGTTCAGTGACATAGGACTTAGAAATCTAGAGCATAGATTGTCTGGAAGACAAGTTCTTAAATCCAGGTTTGCTTGTAGATTAGACCTCAGGAAAGAAGGAAGAGGTTTAAAGTAGAGACAGTTAAACTTGAATGCAAGAATTGACAGGTTATAGAAAGATACATTTTGAAGCAGACTTTTTGCCAGTATTTTACTTTTTGTTTCTGTGTTACTGAAGTAAGAGAAGATTTTTTTTTTTTTTTTTTTTTTTTTGCCGTACGCGGGCCTCTCACTGTTGTGGCCTCTCCCGTTGCGGAGCACAGGCTCCGGACACGCAGGCTCAGCCCAGCCGCTCCGCGGTATGTGGGATCTTCCCGGACCGGGACACGAACCCGTGTCCCCTGCATTGGCAGGCGGACTCTCAACCACTGCACCACCAGAGAAGCCCAAGAGAAGATGTTTAATTGGTGGTTTCCAAATATTGGCGAAACCTTTAGGTTAAGGATATAATTGACGTAAAACATTGTATTAGTTTGTAGGTGTATAACATAATGATTTGATACATATATACATTGCAAAATAATTACCAAAGTTTTGTTAACATCCATCACCAAATATAGTTAAAAATTGAAAATATGTTTTAGATTTCATGTGTAACTGAGCTTGTACAGTATGTGTCTTTCTTTTTTTAACATTTTTTAAAAACTTCAGTCAATGTATGATATTGTGTTAGTTTCTGGTGTACAACGAAGTGATTCAGGAATATATACATATATATATTATAGTTTTCTGTATCTGTGAGTCTGTTTCTGTTTCATTAAAAAGCTCATTTGTGTCAAAGTTTAGGTTCCACATTTAAGTGATATCATATGGTATTTGTCTTTCTCTGTCTGACTTATTTCACTTGGTATAATGCCCTCAAGGTCCATCCATGTTGTCACAAATGGCAGGATTTTCTGCTTTTTTTCCTAGCTAAATAATATTCCATTGTATTGATATATACCTACCACCTCTTCTTTATCCATTCATTTGTCCGTGGACACTTAGGTTTCCATATCTTGGCTGTTGTAAATAGTGCTGTCGTGAACATGGGGTGATTTCATTTTCTTCAGATAAAAGCCCAGAAGTGAAATTGTTGGATCATATGGTAATTCTATTTTTAATTTTTTTCTTGAGGAACCTCCATACTGTTTTCCACAGTGGCTGCATCAGTTTACATTCCCACCAACAGTGCGTAAGGGTTCCCCTTTCTCCACAACCTTGCCAGCATTTGTTATTTAAATTATTTTTATTTTGAAAATATATTGTGGTTTCCAAGACAACGAAAACTACAGCCCACAAAGGTGAATGAGTAGCTGCATTTCTTCTCATTTTTGAAGTCCCATCTTTACCAGATAATATATTACTTTCCTTAGCAAACGAAAACATTTTCTCCGTCAGTTTTCGATTTAAATGATCATTTTACGTCATCAGTGTCTACGTGTATTCATGGTAAGTGTTCCTGCCTAGATCGAAAACAAGCTCTTTTGATCTAAATAGTTGCAGTAATAGTTGTGCCAGTTGATCTGCGTTTCTTATGCATCCTGGTGAAATCCCAAGGTGTGTTTAAGGAAAAAGCGTCATGAGTAGCAGGAAGGGAAGGTGCAGGATTGCTGCCAGCTCCCAGCCCAGGAGAAAGCAGGTCAGTCTGGGACTGAGCTCTCATCGTGGACGGGCCACTGCCTCCCCCATAACCTCCGTCCTCATTCCTGGGCCTGGAGGAAGTTGTCCATGCTCCCCAGTTGTGCAGATTAGCCTTGGTTTGTTTCGAGGACCAGCAAAGCAGATGCGGCTGGTTCATCTCAAATCCAGGAGAAAGATGGCTGAGTCTTTTGTGAGTTGGCTTAACACGGGTTGTCGTCTCCCTGATCAGACCTGACTCCGATTGGGGTCTGTGGCCTCAGCTGTGTCCACAGGAGACCACCCACCTTGTAGCACGTGGCGCCTCTCGGCGCCATTGCCCGTGGCCTCCTTTCCACGCGGATGAACCTGTGGCTTGTCTGGTCTTGTCTCGACAGTGGCTACATGTCCAGCCAGACGAAGAGGGTGGTCAGCGGCGTCCTCTTCGGCACGGGCCTGTGGGTGGCCCTCATCATCACCATGCGCTACTCTCTGAAGGTGTTGCTGTCCTACCACGGCTGGATGTTCGCCCAGCACGGCAAGATAAGCCGCGCCACCAAAATCTGGATGGTAATGCAGACTCACTGCCAGTGCACAACTGGTGTGGATGTTTTTAAACCGCTCTCTCGAGGTGTGCCTGACATCTGCGAAGCCGTAGCTCTTTCACAGCTTGATGTGTTCAGAGATAAGTGTGCACTCGTGACACCTTCATCACTGCCAAGGCCACAGATTTATCCACTCTCCAAAAGTTTCCTCGGGCCCCACTTAGGCCTCTTGCCTTTGGCCGTAAGAGCATTTAACATGAGATCTGCCCTCTTAGCAAATTTGGAAGAGTCCAGCACAGGAGTGTTGGTTCCAGGCCCCATGCCTTAGGATAGGTCTCCAGGACGTACTTAGTTCTTGTAACTGAAACCTTGTCCCTTTTAACCATCCCGCAGCCCCGTGTCCCCCAACCCCCGGCAGCCCCCATCCCTCCTTGCTGCTTCCATGGTTCCACGGACCTGTGAGACCACGCAGGATGTGTCCTTCTGTGCCTGGCTCATCCGTCAGCTCCACATCTGGTGTGGGAGGCTTTTACTTCTGAAAGGAAGGTCCGCGCTGGGCCTTTTCCCCTGGGTGACTTTTTTTTTTTTAATTAATTTTTGTTGGGGTATAGTTGATTTACAATGTTGTGTTAGTTTCAGGTATACAGCACAGTGATTCAGTTATACATATATCCATTATACATATACACATACCCATTCTTTTGTAGACTCTTTCCCACATAGGTCATTACAGAGTGTTGACTAGAGTTCCCTGTGCTATACAGTTCCCTTGGTGACTTGAGCGTTGCCCTGTAAGTGCCAGAGAGCTCTGATTCAACGTGCCTCATTGTTTGGGCCAGAGGCTCTTTTTCTTTAACGATCTTAGTGTGTTCTGAACATCTAGTATTAATGTCTGCTGGGTTTCTCATCCATGTCACCCATCAAATAAAAGTGCCATCCGTCCGCTTCTTTGTAGCTTTTCTAACCTTAGCCGACCAGTTGACCGGGACTCCCTGACTCACCCTTAGCTTCTAGTACCTTCCATCAGCTCACCTCAGCCCTTAGTCCGCCTGTCACTTACCGGCCACGTGCATGGATGTTTGTCCCGTGATGGGTTCATTGGTGGCTGAATGCTGTCCCCTGGGGCTCCTTGTGAAAGGAGCAGGCACCCTCGTGCCCAAGCCCACCGTATTCCCTGGGCTTCACGCTTTCCCGAACCGACTTCCTGCTGTTGCTTGGATATAAGATTTCTGATTTCCAGAGAAGTAGAATTCAACTCCCAGGAGAGATTCTGAGATGGTTTCCACACTTTACAGAGCAAGGTAAACGACCTTCCCCAGGGTGGCCTTCACGGCTGGTGTCCAGGTGAGTCCCACCTGCTCTTCGACATCAAGAATCACCCCCCTGTCCACACACACACTGTGAACCTTAGAAGTTCCTTTGCAGTGTGCTCTGCATGAGATGACCAGTCATCACAGCAAGTGTAGATCATTCCAGACTATAGCAGGCAAGTATGTGCCATCCACCAGGCTTGATATTGACCGAAGGAGCTGCACTTGGCTCCAGGTCCAGGTCCCTCTCCCAGCCCCGGGAGCCAATCCCAAAACCGAGGGCCTTGCAGAAGTAGGTGGGTGGAACTTACCGCCGCTCAGAAGTGCAGTCAGACCCATTGTCAGGGTGCCCCGGGGAACAGAACCGCCAGGACAGGGCAGGACGTCTCAGGCGTCTGTCAGACGTAGGGTTTCATTCACCCTGGGTCTTATTTGGGGTTGCTTGTTTGCTGAGGCCTGCAAATGTAAGGGCAGAAAATGGACTAGAGGAAATGAACCAGCACAGAAAATCCGTCTACGGTCGGCGAGCTGTATGTATATCCTGGAGAACTGGTTTCGGATCTCTGACAGAGCTCGTCTTGGAGAATGTACCTATTTTTTTTTTTTTTTTAAGGGTATGGTCAAGATCTTTTCAGGCCGCAAACCCATGTTGTACAGCTTCCAGACGTCTTTGCCACGCCTGCCGGTCCCAGCCGTCCAAGATACCGTCAACAGGGTAGGTGCGGCTTCACGTGTCCCCAGAACGCCCGCTCTGAAACGCTAGCATCTTGGCAGTTAAGGCCTGTGACTCGATGGGACTTCCCTGGCGGTCCAGTGGTTAGGCCTCTGTGCTCCCAATGCAGGGGTCACGGGCTGGATCCCTGGTTGGGGAGCTAAGATCCCGCGTGCGCCACGGCATAGCCAGAAAAAAAAAAAAAAATCTCATGGCAAACCCAGGGCCTAGCAGCAGTTTTGTGTCCCGTAAGTTTGCTTATGCACATGGTAGACGCTGTTGAGTGCTGTGATCTGCTACCTGCCTGCTCCTACCTGCAAGGGCCAGAGCAGATCAAAGTGGGGACCCCGAAGATTCTGAACTGGAGGCCTGGCCTTGACCTGGTGGCGTGACCTTCTCCGTCCCTATCATTCTGGCTCCTTTCCCGTCCTGGTGTCCTGAACACCAGCTTTTGGTCCTACCCTTGGCTCTCAGGGCCTCCCCACCCATCTCATTGGCACCTATGAAGGTGCTTAGGTGAGAATAGAGCTCTTATTAAGGACCAGATGACAGAGAAAAAAATACACATTGAAAGTTCCTTGTCGATCAAACCTCGATCTTGTCAGACTAGAATCCACTCTGATGATTTTTGTGGTGATTCAAGATCTGGGAGCTTGTATGCCAGTAAAGGACAAAAAAGTTTACTTGTTGAGTTATCACTGATCTAAAACATCCTTTAGTATTGGAGTTAGCTACCTTGTGTGAAGACCTACCTTTTTCTAAGGCACAAGGAAGGAAACCATCTGTTTGTTTTTTTTGCGGTACACGGGCCTCTCACTGTTGTGGCCTCTCCCGTTGTGGAGCGCAGGCTCCGGACACGCAGGCTCAGCGGCCATGGCTCACGGGCCCAGCCGCTCCGCGGCATGTGGGGTCTTCCCGGACCGGGGCACGAACCCGCGTCCCCTGCATCGGCAGGCGGACTCTCAACCACTGCGCCACCAGGGAAGCCCAAACCATCTGTTTTGACTAGGCTTATGTTTTTTCCATCAACCCCAGTACCTGGAATCCGTGAAGCCTCTTATGAAGGAAGGAGACTTTACACGGATGACAGCTCTGGCACAAGATTTTGCTGTCAATCTCGGGCCAGGATTGCAGTGGTATTTGAAGCTAAAGTCCTGGTGGGCTACCAATTATGTGAGTATACATACACGCCACTTTTCTTGGTGGAATTTTCTGTAGGAGCATATAATCTGTTCCATGAGCCAGCTAGCTTCCCTGCGCATGGCTGACGGGAAGAGACATTGGCGGCTGAAACGAGGCAGGGGGGTTGAGGTTTTGAGGAATGGCTAGCTTGGAGAAGGTGTGACCCAGACACACCCAGTGGGTGGGGCTGGAAGTGGGCGGTGGCTGGAGAAAACTGTCAGAGGCCACGGTGGGTGGGGCAGGTCACCTTCGAGTTTGATCCTGCGCTGGTTACATGGGCATGTTGAGTTTGTAAACATTTTCACATGTACGCTTAGGTTCTTAGATGTGCACTGTTCTGTATGTGTATGTACTTTACAATGTGAGGGAATCGTGATCCTTGGGTCCTGGAGGTTGTGGATGTGGTTGGGACAAGGTTGCTGGCCTTCTAGGGGACATCGGGAGGACAGCACACAGGGATCCTGTGTGGCTCTGAAAGGGAACCGAGCACGGCTGAGTCAGTGCCTGCCTTGGGGAGGCTTGGCAGCAGGAGGCGAGAAGCAGTCTGTGGGGCAGTTTGGGGTGTTGTTGATGGTCAAGAAATGTTAGCAGTCCGACATTTATCCCTTCTTTTCCATTTGGTCTTTTTTTTTTTTTTTTTAACCCTCTATAAAATGGAAGGTGATCTACCTTCTAGCTATGTCTTGACTCGAATAAAACCGTTTTCCAGTTCCTTCCCACTGTTCTGCATTCCATCTAGTTAGGGCTGTCTTGGCCCCCAAGAGAGGGAGAAATGATGTCAAACATACATGACAAAGCACTAAATGCACCCTCCCCGAGCCCCCCGCCCCCCGCCTCCGCCCTGGGCAGCCTGGTTAAGCCTGTCGGTTGCTCTCTCCTGTGTGCACCTGACAGGTGAGTGACTGGTGGGAGGAGTACATCTACCTCCGAGGACGAGGGCCACTGATGGTGAACAGCAATTACTACGCGATGGTGAGTCCTGAGCGGTGTCTGATGGAGACCACGCACCAGGGTGGCCTCTTCCCGGCCCTGTGGGCTGCCTGGGGACACTGTGGGTTTCCCCGTGCTCCTCTGGCCCTGCCGTCCCCATCCGAGGCCTCACGGCCCTAGCAGGGAGCCCAGGACCTGCTTTGCACACTGGAGAGCCCCGTGGATGTCCTTTTGGAATTGCCAAGTAGCTCAAGGCACCCACCAATCTTCTGCAGAGAATTGGGATCGCACAAGTGCTCTCGTGGCAATTGACTTTCTTCGAGGCAGCGAACCTCTCCCTCTTTTCCTTCCCTCGGTTTTCCTGACTGAGCCTGCGCAGCGGTGAAGGATCACATCCCTGCCCACCCCGAAAAGCTCAGCGTCTGTGGGTCGCCTGAGAGTTTGTCCACACGCTGAGCTTTGTTCTTCTGGGCCCTGGGACGCCAGGGGTGCTGCACTGAGTGTCATTTTCACATCTCCTTGGTCTTTCTTGCCTTTTGAGACATAGGTGGTCTGCAGAGCACACCCTGTTGTTTTGTCAGAAGCACCTCATTGGGGTCTAATAACTGGCCTTAAATAACTGGTGAATCTGTCTTTCCCTTTCTTTCTGCTCTTTGCTTCCTTTTATTTTTTCCACCTTCTATCTGTTTTGTTTGCTTTTTCTGTTTTTCTCCTTTAAAATTTCTACTGTTTAAAATAAATTTTTTTTTTCCGTTGGAGAAAATCTCAAACTTAGAGAAAAATTGTTGGTGTGGTCCAGAAGACTACTTTTTGAGAATGAGCTGTCCACCTGGTGCCCTTTCGTTCCTGAAGACTTTGGTGTCTATTTCCCACATAGTCAGGGGCAGCCCTGCACATAGGTTCTCTCAAAATATAGTTGAGACAAGCATCCCTTGGACTTGAAAAATGTAGACACCTAGAAATGTGTCCCCAGATTTAGAAAGTTGCAAGCACGGCTCTATATAAAAGGTTATTTTAGCCTTTGGTTCCTTCTCATTCAGAAAACTTCCTAATTATCTAATTCCTCCTTTTAATTTCCGCCTTCCTTTTTATGCATTCTATGAGGATAATTGGGATGAAGCGCTGTTATCTCTTTTGTTTTTAGGCTTGAATTATATTTATTTACAATTTACTTTTAAAATATACTGTTACCTTTCCTAGACCAAGAATTATCTGGGGGCTTGAAACGTGAACACAATTAAAACTGAAAAAGTGTAGAAAATGAAAATGATTTCTTTTCCAGCAGAGCAGATGTCATTAACACATGTACAGAAATATTTTAACTGTGTGTTGAAGTTAGCTTGTCTTTTCCTATGAACATTCTCCCTGCTGTCGTGTGTTTTCTTGTATCAGGATTTGCTGTACATCACACCGACTCACATTCAGGCAGCGAGAGCAGGCAACGGTATCCATGCCATCCTGCTTTACAGACGCAAACTGGACCGGGAGGAAATCAAACCAGTATGCAAACCAACTGCTTTTTAAAAAATTCTTTTAGAGCAGCTTTATCAAGGTGTAACTGGTGTACTGCACATGTTTGAAGCATCCGCTTTGATAAGTTCTGATATACTGATGTATATCTCTGTACTCGTGAAACCATCACCGTAGTCAAGTTAGTGAACCAGTCCCAAGAGTTCGCTGGTGTCCCTTTGCACCGTCCCCCACCAGCGCCCTGATCTGCTTTCTGTCACTCTAGGTTAGCTTGCATCTTCTAAAACTTGTGAATGGAATTTTACAGCATGCGTTTGTTTTTTTTTTTTGGTGTAGCCTCTTTCACTCAGCATAATTACTTTGAGATTTAATTCTCCTCTTATCCTAAATGGATATATGTCTGATGTATTTTAGTTCTGCAATTTGTCCTACGAAGAAACCCTCACTTGCTTGGAAAGGAAATAAGATAGCTGTCTAGCTACTCACGAGAAGGCATTTTTTCCTTCTTTTTCTTTTTTAAAAATTTTTATTAAAGTATAATTGATTTACAGTGTTATGTTAGTTTCAGGTGTACAGCAAATTGAATCAGTTATGCATATACATATATCCACTCTTTTTTAGATTCTTTTCCCACGTAGGCCATTACGAGTAGAGTTCCCTGTGTTATACAGCAGGTCCTTATTAGTTATCTATTTATATATAGTAGTGTGTATATGTCAATCCCAATCTCCCAATTTATCCCTCCCCCCACCCCGGCACTTTATTTTTTCTTAAATACCCCTTTGGTTTAAGTGTCAGTTTATAAATGACCCATTAGGGTGCGTCATTTAGGAATAAGAAGCAGGATGTTGTGCCTTGGCCTGGTTCTGCAAACTCCAGGGCAGCACGTTGTCCCAGGGAGCCACCATTCTTTATAGTGTTTGGAAAAGATTAAGTCCAGCCACGCTATGTGCACAGAAAACAAATCCGGCATTTAAATGTGTGGACTTGGTTTGCTCCTTGGATTTTTGTTTGAGACATGCTTCTATTACAGATTTTTCTTTTGGGATCTACAGTTCCGCTCTGCTCCGCCCAGTGGGAGCGAATGTTTAATACTTCTCGGATCCCAGGAGAGGAAACAGGTGCGTGACCTGCTCGCGGTTCCTTTGGGAATCAGAACTTTTCATCCTTATGCTCAGGAGTTGCTGGAGGAGACCACACTGATGAGCGCTGACCTTCTAAGATTTCAGAGATTTCAGGCCCGTCAACCTTCCTTCTGTTGAATTTCCTTTGTCTTTCTGAGGCCTGGACAGTTAACTGATTTTCAGACCTCAGTTTCTCTTCGGTTGAAGGCTGTCTTATGGTGGAGCTTTTTCTAGGTTGGGTAATAGGAATATTCCTGTTTCTCCATCTGGATCTTTCAGGTGCGTTTTGCTCTGGCTCCCACGCAGGGTTTATGGTGGAAAGCGCCCTGGATCTTGCTCAGGGAAGCCAGATTTG